CACACACACACACACACACACACATATATATATATAGTTATGTGACGCTCGTGACGCATTTCCATAAGATTTTTCCATTTACACCCCGCCCGAAAAGACGCTTCAATTCAAAACAGCTCTTGCCGAGTTTCTTGCCGGTTCTTCTCAGTATAAGGTCTCCCGCCGTAGATTTGCAAACCGATGGCGTAGTTTTTCGACCTTCACAAGTGCTTGCTAACAGCCTAGGCTGAATTAATGTTTTTTTTTATTCTGATTTTATTATTGGAAATAAGAATTGTACGCATTTGAGAGTAGACCTCCCTCGGGAGCAATGATGCGGCAACTTTTGGTGCAATTAATATATTATTACAACCATCAGACTTCATAAAATTGTGGACGAGAGAATATACAGATCAAGTAACAAACAAAAATCAAGTTGAAAATATTAAGTTACTACTTACCACAAACTGTCGAAATTGTGAATCCTGTGTGATATATTTCAATTAGCTTAAAGCTTAGATTAGCACACAGAAGCGTCAAATTAATTGAATAAATATTGTCTTTTCTATTGTTATCAAAAGAAAATGACGGGATAAAGTGGAATCTGAGGCTGCAATATAAACTTTACTCTTAACACCAGACAAGTTCCATTGTTAGAGCGAGACATCACATACGCACAGTAGAGCGACATCCTACTTCCACCTCTGTTATTGCCTGGCGTTCGCCTTACGGAAATGCTATGGAAAACGCTAACACTTTCGATTTTATTTTGTTATTTCTGACCGCCGAAGGTTTTCAAATACCTCACGCTCAATTTTTTTATTATGCATATGGCATTTGAAAACCTCAGGCGGCTAGAAATAACAAAATGAAATCGTAAGCGTTAGCGTTTTCCAAAGCATTTCCGTTAGACGAATGGCCCCCTGGTCTGGTTTAGAAAAGAAAATATATCGCAAACATTCCATACTATATGCATTGCCAAAACATATTGAGAAGAGAACAACACCTGCGGTCACTGCGGTGAATTAGGTCACACTAATAAAGAGTGCTCGAAGAAAGCCGAACCATCAAATTAAGCAACATGCAACGGGCAATGCTGACTGTCCTACCAAAAAGATGGCCGAAAAACGCTATGTTAACTCCATAGATTATGAAGGAGCCTGAGATCGTCACCTGTTATTTATATTTTAGAACTTTTCATATATTTTCATTTGATATGACAGAATCGTAATTTAAGCCTAATTATTAATGCGGACGCCAATATGTATGTTAAATTTATTTATTTTTCTTTAACAAAGTTTCTACAGCGTTTTTCTTTGTGGATTTAATACAATAAAATATAAAAAGAATCTTAAGGCCAATTACAGAAACTGATCATGTACACATTAGATACTAACGGCGTTACTATATATCAGTACTTATTACATTTAATTTAATAAATGAACATAAATAATGAAATCAAATTAAGATTGGGCAGAACAAAACATAACAAAAAGACAAAAAAAAAGAAAAACAATCACTAAATACCCGTACAAAAGGGTTTTCAAAGAATTTGTCACATGATAACCTTATGAAGTGTATGTGTGTGTGCGGGGTATGTATGTGTGTGTGTGTGCGTGTATGTATGTGTATGTGTGTCCATGCAGCTGCAATGCTATGCCTCGTAACAAGATGGCGGGGAATCGTAAATTAATACGAATAAACATAAAGAACAAATGAGCGATGTATTGACCCGAAAATTTTGCATGTCATACAGAATTAATTTAATGTAGATTTAGCATTTTTGCTTTTGTTTTATTGTACTATTGGTTATTTAAAGTAGTTAAGATCTTTTTGCCTAAAACACAGGATATTCCTAGTTGAAGCTATGTATTTTTCTTTACCTTATGTGTTTTTTCTTAGATTTAAGTCACTAATACTTATTGCCGTTAGCCAAAAAACCTTATCGCGTGTTGCTTTCACTGAAATCGCTACGACGGTACTTTTATGCAGTCACAAGCGTACCATTAGGGCCAATATGCATACTTCTAATAAAAAAGTTACGATTCGACGTCCTTTGTTTATTCTGTGAGTACAGTTGAGACAGCCTCTGTTTTATTCATCATCATCATCATCAGCCTCTTAATGTTCCCACTGCTGGGGCACAGGCCTTCCCTATAGAAGGAATACAGAGATTGGGCCATGACCCACCACGCGGGCCCAGTGCGGATTGGTGGGTGCTAACGACTGCAGATGCAACCGGGATCAACGGCTTAACGTGCCTTCCGAAGCACAGAGGAACTCGAGATAGAAAATTTCGGTCACCCATCCAATGACCCAACACTGCGAAAGTTGCTTAACTACAACGATCGCAGCCGAAGGCGCTAGCCACCTGCGCCATCGAGCTTTTCTGTTTTATTACAAAGTAGTTAAATTGCATACAATCCGATTATTATCCAGTGTATATCCTGTCCAGTCTCTCGGTGTACGGGGTTGTTCGGAGGACTTTGGGGGGGTTATTATGAATTTTCTGTCCCTCCCTCCCCCCCTGATGAGGTGTCGTGAGATTTTATTCAACTCCCTCCCCCACCCCCCAATCTCACGTGAGATTATACAAAATGTGGGTTTCTTACGTGAACGCGTTAGTTTGTTAATGTAAAAAGAAAAAAAAATTGCTTCGTGCTTTTATTTACTAGTTAAGACTAGTAATCAATACTGCTGAGAGTTAACGATTACGCTTAAGATTAAATCATAAGCATGTACAATCTGGATTAAATTGACCAAAATAGTATTTTTTTTTGTTTGAATCAGAAAAAAAATTGCGTGATATTTGCCGAGACTCCAACGTAAGATTAGATGAGATTTAACTCGACCCCCTACCCCCCCCCCCCCCCACCTTAAACATCTCACGTAATTTATGGACGCCCCCTTTTTGTACGCGAGACTTTTAATTTCTCATGTGCGTAAGCTATCTCTTAGGTGGGTGACAAAGTCTCCTCTCTTCTACGCAGGCCATTAGAACTTTTATAAAACTACTAACCTACATACCAACTCTTGAAGTATTCGAACGAATTTATAAAGCCCTCCAAATCCGAATGAGATTTAGAAAGTAAATTGAAATAAAAGACTGTTTACCCAGACAAAATGGAAGGACTAAATGGGAGACATCGATATTCTCTGTTCAAACAGTTTAGTGTAAATAAAATACCATTCGTTTCGACTATGAGCCAAATATTTGGATACAAAATGTTTTACATTTGAACGTGATTTAGAGTCCACTTTGAGTTTATATATATATATATATATATACATACATATATATATACTAGCTGACCCAGCGAACTTCGTACCGCCCTAAAAAAATAGGGGTTGTCCAGCGGACAAAATTGTGAATCTAAACCATTCTCAGATCCCCTTGAACACACACAAAAAATCGGTCCAGTCGTTTAAGAGAAGTTCAGTGACATACACACTCACAGAAGAATTATATATATAAAGATATACATATATATATATATATATATATATATATATATATATATATATATATATATATATATACTAGTAACCCGACGGTGTAAAGCTGTAGTGTAGTTAATTTAAATTACACTCTGTAAAGTACCAAATTAATCTATATTAAATGCACAATGTAGTTAACGTACTTAATTGGATATGGATTAATGCTGTATTAGTGAAAATCGCTTTGTAAATAAGCTATTATTTCTCGTAAAAAGTAAAGAATAAAAATGGTTATTGTGGGTAATCCCTAAGAGATAGACATATACCATCGCGAACTTTTTTGTAGACCTTTTTAAGGTGTACAATAAATACTGTAGTACATTATTTTGATCTATCTCGTAGGGTTCAGCCAGAGTTTACAATGTAAGCGCAAAAAATGTGTTTATTTACGACCTTACATTAAAAACCTCTAAAATTATCTGTGTTTCTCTACTATATGATGCATGTATTATACATATAAACCTTTCTCTTGAATCACTCTATCTATTTAAAAAACCGCATCAAAATCCGTTGCGTAGTTTTAAAGATCTAATTATACATGGGGACAGACAGCGGAAAGCGACTTTGCTTTCTACTATGTAGTGATTAATACAAAATGAGAATATATAAAAATAAGTCGGGTTTTCCTTCCTGACGCTATAACTCCAGAACGCACGAACCGATTTCCACGGTTTTGCATTCGTTGGGAAGGTCTCGGGCTCCGTGAGGTTTATAGCAAAGAAAATTCAGGAAAAATTAAAAAAAAATCACCAAACGAAATGTTACATAAAACGAAGCCATCTGGTGGCGAAACGGAGTTCGCCGGGTTTGCTAGTGAGAATATATATATTTAAAAGTCACGCACACTAATAAATAAAAAAATACATAGTGTTACAAGTATACCCCGAGTGACGCTACTTAAATTAAAGGGGATCTCTCACCCTCTGATTCCGTCGGCATATGCACGTCTAAAAATACCCCGACGACGAAATCACCCGCGCCAACGCACCTCCGACTCCTCCCACACAGGCCACAAACACCAATACGACACAGCTAGCATACTTGCACACTAGCTTAGCATTAGGCAGATACCGCACCCGTAGGATAAGAGTATACCTGGAACGTACATGGCGTTTTTCTCCGCCCTCAATGATCACGGCTATCTAGAACCGAGGTCCAAGTCTGATTCGAGTGGTCTAGAAGCTCCAAACTGAGAGAAGATTCCCCCCGAGTGGAGATGCCATCTGCCTGGAATACCTGTAGAGGCACTCGCCAATTCTCGGCTTGAGGTCCCTTTTAGGTAACCAAACCGAACACGGTGATGCTGTAAAGGTCATCTGCAACTCCCCACCACAGCACACACATTATCTGCATGTTGCAAGCACACTCTCTTGTAAGCGCTCGCACGGAGCAGACGTGCACTGTGGTGTCTGTATCGTTGCGAGTTGCATTTGTTTTTCATAAATCACACTGATAGGTTATTTTCAAGCTGCAAGTTAATAGGGTGTAATATCATATAATAATATATTTATTTCAACACTTACCAAGCCTTCGTTATGAAGTTCCTCCCAGGTGGGGTCCCCTAGGGGTTCCGATTCCATAGCGCCCTCGTAGTGTAGCACCCCAACTTGCTTCGCTTTGGTGAATCTAGGTAAGACAAGGTTTTTTTTTATCATTATAGATATAAATATACGGTAACGTTAGGGAACTAGTAGAAAATTTAAATACCTGCCTAGGATGAACAGGTTTCCCGTTAGATTTATTTTAGGTTTCAAACTCAAAATCATTTCTAAATATAAACTGTTAACCGCTTTCATGATCGTCAAACGCTACGCTTCCGGTTTGCAAGTCTACCGTGATTGGAGATCTTATACTGAAAAGAACTGGCAAGAAACTCAGCGAGGGCAATTTTTTCTCCGTCTGATTTCATCTCATTTAGAGTCATCAATTCAAAGATGACATCAAATCAGTCCCGCTTCATCACATTCTTAACAATTAGGTTACTATTTTGAGTTTTATAATCGAAGGAGCAAAGCAAATCTTGGTGGAGTCATGGAAGTATCCGTTGGGATTCTCGTGGCATCACCTAGTGCCAATGCCTCGCCGAGCGTGGAGCCGCTGGTTGGTGTATCTTTCGCCCAGGAGGCGAAATCTTCAGGTTTATAGTATTTAGGGTAGCTTGAACTACCCATAATCCTATATTCCCCCATTTTAAAACGTGAAACCTACCTCTCGTCGCAGTCCATGAGCCCACGGAACCTGATCCAGTAGTTGTCTATCTCGTTATCTGCGTCCAAGATGAAGTCGTACCGCTCCCCGGCGTACGTCACCAATGATGTAGCTGGAACAAAATTAATAACATTATGCATTGACTTTTTGCTTTATGGCCTTCAAAGGCAGGCGAGCAGATGGGCCACCTGTTGTTGAGTCGTCATCGTTACTATGGACATCAGCAATGCAAGTGACACAGCGCACGGTCCATGACCCATGTTGCAGCACTGAAGGATTACCGTGGTAGGGAAAAATACTTACAACCCGAAACCTATACCCTTCTACCCCCAACCCCTATTTTTATGACAGTTCGCAGTTGACTGGGTCAGGTAGTTGCTTTATAAAAAAAATGAAATAAGTTTTAAAATACCCCCGAACTCTTCAAACCTCTGATGCCTCTGCCTGTTTTTCTCAGTACAAAGACTCCCGCCGTAGAATTACGAACCGATGGCGTAGCTTCTAGGCATTCATGTGTGCTTGTAACAGCCTAAACTGAATAAATGATTATGAATGAAAAACCGCATCCAAATAGGTCCTTTTATAGGCACACATAGAGACAGACACGTCAAACTTGTATTCCCTGTTTTGCGCCGGGGGTTAAAGAGTGCATTTGTAAATAAGATATGGCAACCGTCTAGCAACAAGCAGAATATATGCACCTTTGCTATCTACCATCTATTTTAAATAAAAAAGATCTTTTATAAAAAGGAACAACAAGACAACTCAAGTACTAACTTAAACTACTGTGTTATAAGTTCTACCCAAGAGACTAATTCAAAATAAACAAGAATAGTTTTAGGAAAGCTTTCAACGCCATCTGAAACTCTAGTTCGTTATAAACTTCTAGTTGTAGTCTAGTAATTAGGAAGATTCGTTTAGGCGCCTACCGCATTACATTAATTTAACCTAATCCTATCCTATTCAAGTTTTAAAAACGACCTCGGTGGCCAAGTTTTATATACGGTTTCAAGGTGTCGCCTACTCGAGAGGGGTTCGAATCCCGATGTGGGTTTGTACTCCAGTCATAGATGTTTGATATGTATTTCTATATAAATATATACAAATACTAGCTGATCCAGCGAAATTCGTACCGCCATAAAAATAGGGGCTGGTGGTAGAAGGGTGAAATTTTGGGTTGTATGTATTTTTGTATGATGTATTATAAAAAAATAAAAACCTAAATTTTTCTCCAAAAAATAGAAAAAAATAAGGGTGGACCGGACCACCCTTAACATTTAGGGGGATGAAAAATAGATATTGTCCGATTCTCAGACCTACCGAATAAGCACACAAACTTTCATGATAATTGGGAAAGCCGTTTCGGAGGAGTTTAACCACAAACACCGCGACACGAGAATTTTATATATTAGAGATATGTATCAGTGTTTGTATTCTATCCATTACCCTAGTATCCCATAACACAAGCCTACAGTACCTACTTTGGGGCTAGGGTAAGTGGTGTAAGTGTAAAAAAAAATAATGTAATATTAAACACAATAGTCACTGAACGTTGCGCTTTGCTCTGCTTGCGTGCATAGTCGGTATAAAAGAAGGAAAGAAAGAAACATAAATTAATCACAAAAGAATACACGATTATTTGATTAAATCAGAAACACAAACACAAGTTCAGTTAACTAATAATTTAAAGCTAAATACTAATATATTGAGTGCGATGTTTACAGGTCTCTATCTCAGCAAAAGCCATAACTCACAACGCAAGCCAAACTAAACGCACTTCCATTTATCATACTGTTTCAAATCGCAACTGACTTAACTACCAAGAGACACAAATTTGTAGTCTGAAAATACTCTTATAGTCTCGTTAAAACTTCATCAACAAATATGCAAACATTAATATACTGCTTCCTGGAATCCACTTTGGACAATTTCGAACTAAAATTTTCCATCAAACAATTTCACAAGAGCTGAGATGTTGCTTTGCTTTCAACTCGAACACATCTGAATAATATGCAGATGAGAAACTCCAACTAAACATACAGTCGCTACTAATATTTAATAGTCCTATTCGAGAGAGTGCTATGAAGCATGAGAAGATATCTATACCATATACGTAAAATAAAATGGAAGGAAAGTCAAAAATGTACATTGAATATTTTTTTTATTTTAAAAGACTACTTGGGGTGTGATCTACAATCGATACCGAAGCCAAAAATATAGTTTTTAGAATTTTTGTCTGTTTGTCTGTATGTATCCGGGATAAACTCAAAAAGTACTGCATGGATTTACTTGAAATTTGGCACGAATATTATTAAGAAGTCAGTTCAACATATAGGCTACATATTATCACGAAACTCCACCCCTAAGGGGATAATACGGGGGTTGAAAGTTTGTATGAAAGTCCTATGTTTTTGAAGTAAGAGACTTGAAATTTAACATGTATGCTCTATAGATGGTACAGAGGTGTACTAATAATGTATCTTTACAAATAAACCCTTTTGGGGTCAAAAAGTATATGCAAATAACTAACTAACTACGAAGTCGCGGGCGACCGCTAGTTATAGAAATATAGATAAGACTTATCGAAAAACAAATTTTGAATTGGAAAGAAATTCTTAATAGTAATGAATCCAAATAAAAATCACTCTTTCCATCCAGGCTTCTGCCCCAGTAGTGGATATATTAATAAGCTAGATAAATAATAAATAATTTGTGATAAATAATTTCCAAAACACAACATTTAGCCTAGCCCCAAAGTAAACACTGTAGGCTTGTGTAATGGTATACTAGGGTAGCGGATAAAATAAATATCAACTGATGCACATAACAGTATATTTAGATAGAAATACATATTAAACATCCATGACTGGAGTACAAATCGACACCTTGAAACCCGGAGTACAAACCACTCGGCCACGAAGGTCGTCGATTATGATGATGATGAAATACCTATATCAAATAGTTTGAAAGAAATCATATCTAATAAATTACTAGCGGCCGCTCGCGACTTTGTCCACGTTAACTTTTGCTTTTTGGGAATCCCAAAGAAACTTAACATTTTCAGAGAGAAAAAAGGATCGTATGTCTAAATCCAGGTGAAAAGTGATAAAATATGCTTACCAAATGTCAACCAAATCCGTTCAGTAGTTTTTGCGTGATTGACTAATAAACATACGAACACAAAAACTATCACATTTATTATATTAGTAGGATAAGTTACTGTTATTGAATTTTTCACTTGTGTAACAATGATAAATGAAGAACCGCTTAAAAAACCATTTCAGTAATATCAAATTCCTTTAACTATATTCTGCGCAAAAGATGCGTTGTAACAATATTACCGGATCCGATGAATGCATCGGATTCGGAATAAAAAGCTGGAAAATAGCTGTTTCTGGACTAGTTCCCATACCAATCTATATATATAAAACTCAAAGGTGACTGACTGACATAGTGATCTATCAACGCACAGCCCAAACCACTGGACAGATCGGGCTGAAATTTGGCATGCAGGTAGATGTTATGACGTAGGCATCCGCTTAGAAATGATTTTGATCAATTCTACCCCCAAGAGGATAAAATAGGGAATGAAAGTTTGTATGAAACTTTGTCAATTTTAAACCGATCGGGCTGAAATTTTGCATGCAGGTATAAGAAGAATCATAGATGAATGTCATTGTGTATATTAAAAGCCTGAGAACAAAAACTGTAGTCTACACTTCAGCTCTCCACCGAAACGAAGCGAGGGCGGGCCGCTAGTTTAATCTAAAGTTACAACTGTTTTTGTATAAAGACAAGATATAAGCTCTTTCATGTATAAACATGAAAGAGCTCATTTGCCTGCATAAGCAGGCAAATGAGCTGACAGTCCACCTGATGGAAAGTGGTCAATGCCGCCCATGGACACTTCCAGCACCAAGGGTACTATTCATGCGTTGCGTTGCCGGTTCTGAAGGAAAAGGTTTACCCGCCTTTTGAAGACCGCTTTAAGATAGCCGAAAGAAGAACTACTCCGGGAAGTTCGTTCCAGATCTTGCTGGAATGCAAGAAAACAGAAAGCGCGTATCGCATGGTGATCCAATGCTAAGCGAAACTTCTCTCTGCGCCGTGTGGTACGGTGAAGGAACTTGGCCGCTGGTACTAAATTAAATAATATTCCTCGGAATTAATTTCAAAATCAGCATCTTTCTAACCTTGTTATATCAATTTATGGAAAACAACACTAGCATCTTTAAAAACGATCCAGTGAATTCAGTCTGATAGCGAAGGAGCTGAGTTCTATTGCAGTCTATAGGGCGAATCTGTAAAATAAAATCTGACTTGCGATTTCGGTAGCTGTCATTTTAGACATAAGTTTGATATGCATTACGCCATTACACGGCAAAATGTCGCTATATCTGTAAAAGCAGCCATTATTAGATATTTGACATTTGTCAGAAATCCGAATCAATGAGATCGTAAGTGAGATTGCATCTTACAAAATACCTATGCCGATACCTGGACGGACTTGACTGTTTTAGCTATAATTTTCTTTTCTTACATATAAACGTTATTATTACCTGTTATAGGTTCCAGATCGTAGCCATCGGAAGCGATGATGGTGATGTTGTGATTATCCACAGACAACTCTATGGGGCAGTTCAGAAACTCTGCGTTGATCACCCGGAAACGGTACTTATAGCCCTGTGAACAAAGTTGGATTTGTTTAATCTGTTAGGATATTTTGTGTCTTAGTAGTTTCTAATGCGACTTCTGATGTCAGAAAGATCCTGCATCCTGCATTATCTCCTTCTCAGAAAATGATCGCACCAGACAAAGCCTGTAAGGTCCTTATGGCCATAGGCGTCCTCCTACGGGGGTGTTTAAGTCAATAAGAATCTGCCATAACCATGCAGCCGGCTGTATACATCCATTAAGATTTTACCACCCTGAAGAGAAACAAAAAAAAAGAAAGACCTGGCCAAATGCCTGATACAGGTACACCATTAGTAAAATTAATTCATACTCTTGTACAAGATTCGTAACACTGGGACTAGCAATAACGTCGAAATAATTGATTTCTTATACGTTTTGTATTATTTCCATTATGAGAGAAACGTGAAAATTGTAAGATTTTTAGGAAAAAGTAATACATCTAAAAAAAATATAACTAGAAAAAAAAACCACGCGGACCAGGCAGCAGACGGGACTCGAACCCGCACCCTTCGCAATCCGGGCGAATGCACTGACCAATTATGCTACCGCGGGCCTCATGGACCGCGTCGAAATTCTTCTAGCCATTCTTAAGCTGCAAGGCAGCGCCATCTCTTCGCATTATAGGTAACCCACAATGTCAAATGAATACTTTTACAAGTATTAAACATTTGAAAGAAGAAATAGCAATTATAGTTATATTTTTTTATTATTTTTAAAGCATGTAACTGGTTGATGTTTAAATCTAAAGAAAATATAACTCTGCTGCCTGGTCCGCGTGGATTTTTTTCTAGTTATATTTTCTTTCCAGTCAAGTCAGGTCAATGTAGTATTAATGTCACAATTTAGGTTAATCTAATTATTATCATGAAATAAAATAGTCCTTTTTCAAAGTAAACTAATGACATCCGTAATTTATTACGATTACTAACCAATTACCTTTTACCATTCCAAATGAGAACACGATGGGTTCAAGATGAATAATAGCTAATGCAATAAAAAAAAAGGTAAATTTAAAAAATCAAAAAACCCGACTGCTTAATTATACTTCAAATAAAAACCGAAAAGAAAAAAACAAGTCCAGTAGTCTATAATTCTGTTAATAAGGAACAAAGCTACTTTAGCAGTCGGGACCCACTGTTGAAAAATATTATGTATTCTTGAATATCTAATGGGTCCCGACTGTTAAAGTAGCTTTGTTCCTTATTAACAGAATTATAGACTACTGGACTTGTTTTTTTCTTTTCGGTTTTTATTTGAAGTATAATTAAGCAGTCGGGTTTTTTGATTTTTTAAATTTTTTTGTATCCGAAAAATACACTTCTATCTTGAAATCTGCATAATGCATTAGGGTAATTATATTTTAATGTTATTAATTATATAATCAAGTAAACGAATACGTAAATATTTCATTGGATTGCTGAGTTGGTCATAATCTAACCTCGCATTTTTGGCGAGCTTATATTTTTTTTGGTAAGATGGGGTAACTTTGCGCCTGGATCAAACTAAACCCAAACATAAGCCGTTCAAAAGTAAATTATTTTATTCATTGTAAGTGGTTATTAATACACTTTTTCGTTCTCTCGCTCGTTAGTTTATTTTTGACTGATTTTTGTTCAGCATTTGTAACTAAATGTCTTTGTTAAGATAGCAGTGCCTATTATAATTTAAGAATATAAAAAGGTAAATTTAAAAAATCCAAAAACCCGACTGCTTAATTATACTTCAAATAAAAACCGAAAAGAAAAAAACAAGTCCAGTAGTCTATAATTCTGTTAATAAGGAACAAAGCTACTTTAACAGTCGGGACCCATTAGATATTCAAGAATACAAAATATTTTTCAACAGTGGGTCCCGACTGCTAAAGTAGCTTTGTTCCTTATTAACAGAATTATAGTATAATATATTATATACTTTTATTCGTCGACTATTTAAAATTGGCAGTGGCTGCATTGTCATGTCAATGCCGGACGTCTAAAATTGTGATATACACAAATTCAGTGTCAGTCCCTAGTCTCATAATTTGATATACCTACATCATTCACAGAAACCCATATGTAGATGCCAGAAGTTAACTTCAAATGTTTTTAATCAGCCTATATACAATACCAATCAATGACGTTTATGTCGCAGGTAAGCAGTAATTCCCGTTTGTTGTTTTGGACAATGGTGGCAACTGCCTTAGATCACTAAATTAAATAATTATGCAATCACCAAAGCAAAGTTTATAATATTTGATTAAACTAAAGGCGCATAATAAAATTTTCATAACGTTAGATAGAGCACCATAGCAATCTCATTTATTATCAATTTATAGTTCTCTTTGTGGTTTTCTTTTAAAGCGTTCACATACAACAGGTCCAAGACTTTGTGTTCGACCCTTTTTTATTGGTAGTGTAAAGCTCGAATGAAGAGTACTCCCAGTAGTGCAATCACGGCAATTACTTTCCCAATTTTTATTTTGTTATAAAAATACCCAATAACGTATCACTGTAAAGCACAAATGCTAAGTAACTCTTTTACAAATATAATCAAATAAACCTATTACTTACTTTATTTTCAAATCTTTTTCATCAATTAATTACTTATCTTATCCTAACTATCTATATTAATATTATAAAGCGGCAAGATTTGTATGTTTGTAACAAATAATCTGACAAACTACTGAACCGGTTTCAAATATTAATTCATCATAAGGTAGCTACATTATTTATTATTACATTTTTCTTTATTTAAATACATTTTGTCCGAGTGACATAGGCTATATTTTATCCCGATAAATAAATTTCGCCCGTACAATGCCCGGGTGGATCACTAGTAAGTATAATATAATTTTATAGATGTGAAAGTGAGTTTGTTTGTTGCACTTCCGTGCCCTAATAGCTAAATCGAATATAATGAATTCCCATATAGAAGTAGATGGGAACTTGGTTCTTAGCTACAACATCGCAATACTTATAGGTATAGGGTGATGAAAGGGGTGATTTACCTATAAAAATCTACATTATTTACTTTGAATTTTGCAGAATTATTACAAAACCAATCTTATCGCGAGCTGATTAATAAATACAGGGATTCCAATAAGTATGTACTTACTAGCGAAAAATGGGTTATTTGTCATTATATTAGGTAAACTTTTTTTGTAACATTAAGTAATATCGTTAAAAAAATGAAAAACAGTAAAATTCTGAGTTTTTCATTAAAATTCAATAATCATAAATACCTATTATGATAATATATTTTTCATCATTTAATAAGAAGGAACTGTATCACAGTTTTATTGTGTTAGTGCTTCGTATAGGATCAGATACTGCGAATAGCCCATTTTTTTTTCTTTTACATAGTACACCGCGCTATCACTTTGTCATCGTTGTAACTTTTTAAATATTTGTCAAAATGACATAGTGCAAAAAGCAAAGTTTATCGTCTTTAAATATCAAAAGCGATAAAAGTATTTGTTTTGATAAAAAATGATTTGTTAATACAAATTGTGCATTTTGGAAATGGATATCAAATAATATTTTAGTTTTGATTCACTATTTTAGCGGTAATGACTTACACATTAAAAATAGATATATGGTGTCACGGACTTTTTTTTAGAACTATTTAAGAGATACATTTTTACTCTACATTACATTTATGTAACTTTTATTGTTTTTGCAGTGCAGGCCAAAATGGCTCGCAGATGGGAGATTTTTTTCCGTCTTATGTGACACTTATTGTTATATATTGGCCAATTCACTCAATAACTACATAAATTATTATATATATGTAATTATCATATATGAGCTATATTACTGTTAAGTTTCATTAAAATCCATTCAGTATTTTTTAGGTGAAAGAGTAACAAAGATCCATACAAACGTAAGATTGAAATTAAAAGCGTAAGTGGTTAATATACAACTTTAAAGCGTTGTAGATCCTAAAGAATCATATTGAATGAAAAATGGTGTTACGAACCTAAATATGATTTTTGATTATCTAGACAGTGATACCCCACTCGACATATTTTGTCAACTTGTTTTTTTTACTTCGTCACAATATGGCGCCTAATTTTGCCCATATTGAATTTTGATTACTATTATATCTTTAGTAGCACTCCCATGATTGAGACGAATCGATTGATGTATGAATCATCAAAATCGGTCTAGGTGTTTGGTCTCTAGTGTGCCACAAAGGAACAAACATACATATATAGACTGTTAAACACATAACCCTGTCTGCGCGTCGCGCTTCGCGCTCTTGCATTGCGCAGCCGGGTAAAAAACAAACGAGAAATAAACCAAAGCAAGGAACTGTGCACTGTTTAGAATTATTACCGTCATAAAGTGACTGTGCGACTCGCAGAAAGTTCCCTTGCCTTGATTTATACGTTTCCGCTCGTGTGAACTAAGCTCAGTTAAATATCTAACAAATTTCCTTGTCAGTACACTAAACTGAAATGAGCACAATTGTAGCTTCAGTACTTCACCCCTTATTAATAAACGGAGAATAAGCTTGGATTAGTTACTCCGTGTTTTGCTTTTACTCTCTTTTTACTCGGCCAACCAGGACCCTGCTTCAGCATAAGCTGAGAATGAGAAAAGTAAATACTTCTCTTAATATATCAGCGCTCGTATTTTGGCAGGGCCTGTGCGAGGTCGCTTTAATGGTGCGTAAAAAATTTTTAAAACAAGTAAACCCGAAAAACTAAACGTATATATGTATTTAATAAATTATTTATTTTATTCTCAGCGCCATGTTGGTCTACAATTACAAGCATGAAGTATTTGAATGATGTAGTGCCCGGGTTGCGGCGTCCGCCATCTCGTTACCAGGCATAGCATTGCAGCTGCATGGACACACACACACACACACACACACACACACACTTCATAAAGTTATCATGTGACAAATTCTTGAAAAACCTTTTATATGAATTTTCAGTGTTTGTTTTTCTTTTTTTTGTCTTTTTGTTATGTTTTGTCCAATCTTAATTTTATTTTATTATT